GGCTGATTCCAACTCCTTAAAAAAGGACACATTGCAAGTTTTAGGGCCTTAGACCTATATATGCCTTTGTTTATGTCATTACACATGGTCTTGAAAGGAAAAATTATGTACACAGTTTGGTAGCAAGACATAGAGGGAATATTTCCCTATGAATTTAGCATACAAGTACAGGGGATATTCCCAATGTATAGGGCTCTCATATGTACTTTTAGGAGATCGAGCTCAGATTCATCTACATTAAGTTTTTATCCAATGAAGGCTACTTTTGTCTTTTGATAATTCAAGGAAAACTTTGTATATCCTAGAATCATAGCTTGTATTTTAGGGGGTTTTTCCTTTCTAAGCTTGTATTAAGTGCTTATTGGAAAAGCACTTAAGGCCCTGTTTGATGATTAAGTACTTGTTAAAAAAGATTGTTTGGTAACTCACTTTTCAAATCACTTATTATGTTTTTAAGTACTTATTGGGGTGGAAATGTTTGATAAGCTACTTTCCCCATGAATGTTTATATTCATGCAAATGACAATTTTACCCTCTCCCTCTCAAGTGACTCGGTTTCTGTTGATGATGATGTGATACCTCTAGGAGGGAAGGTAACAATTATAATATGGAAATCTTGTTTTAAATCGTAAATGTAGATAGGTTTTTCTCTTCACTCTTCTACAATGCCATTTTCTCTTTTTTCTCTGTTCGTTTGTTTAACCATTCTGAGCTTTTGCAGGAATGTTTGGTTGAGACGGGGAAAGGTTCTATTTCTGTTTTCGTCTGTGGTGATCAAGAAAAGCTCGCTTTGGTTACATGCCCAGATGTTGTTCTCAATTGTATTCATTCGTTCCCTACTTTGGTTTTTAGAATTTGAAAATAGTGTTCGCGCCCGTTGGTTGCAGGGTTTTAACGGGGTTTTGTCTTTCAATATGTTTTTATTGACTTTCAGTGTTTTATCTGGGTTTTGACAGATATGTCTTGTTTCTAAGGTCTCTTATTTTGCCCAAATGCAGCTCCTTTGCTGCTTCACAACTTCTGCATTTATCACATAGATGCTGAGGAGAAAACAAAGTCCCGGCCAATGATCAGAAAAATCGTGAATTGCCAGCGAAAGGTGGTTGGAGGAAGAAGATAAGAGGACGATTTCAGGAAGTAAAACAAAATAGGTCGCAACACAGTGGGAAAGGAGAGACAAGTGGAAGGCTGCAACTAAATGCCGTCGTTGCATGTTGTTGTAGGGTTTCAAATGGAAGAAGAAGATGATAAACACGAGGTGGGGTAGTTTTCTCATTAAAGAAAAAAAACAGGGATAGGTTTGTCCAATTCGAACGAAGTACTTTTTCAAAAAATGTTGAAAAAAAGTCACATCGATGTCACTTTTTTAAAAAGTACTTTTTTAATAATAAGTACTTCTTATCCTCTTTTTTACCAAACACCCATAAGTATTTAAAAACTACTTAATATATGGTCCCATGTCTTAAAAGAAGTACTTTTAAGTGTTCTCAAACAGGGCCTAAATCCGAAAAACCTATTTGGATGTTGGATAAAAAAGCCCAACAAGTGCTTTTTCACTAAAATATACCCATTTTATTGATAAAGCATTTATCATACTTATAGCTTGTTGATGAGGGTGGATTTAGCCCTCCAATGACATTGTGACACGTGACATCTTGGAACAACTGGGTGACACACGGAACCACTTGGGCAATAACTTAACTAAGATGATGGTGTCCCGAACTAGCGACCAGGCACAGGCGCCGACCTGGCGACCAACCTTTATGCCGAACTAATGACCTAATTAGCAGGCTAACAACTCACTCTGACACGCCAAGTCCGCAAAGGATCGAGCTCAGATAACCAGACCACCTCGAGACAAGACTACCTCAGGACGAGTATACCTCGGCGCAAGGTCACATCAAGACCACCTCGGTCCCAAGGCACTTCGCCATTCATATCAGGTCAGATCTAAAGAGCACGAGCTCAGGCAATACTGACCGACCACCGCATGGCAACCCCAGAGATCTCGTCACCGTACGCGTCTTATGGGATCATACCTTGTAACGGCTAAATATCATCTCCCCACTCCCCGATTCAGGCGGAAATGGTCAGCCTTACCGGTTGGTAGTGTTATCCCCAACTAACACGGACAAATCCTGTCGCAACGAGAATTCCGGAACTACTCCACCGAACCCGCAAGGACTCCAGTATATAAAGGCTTCACCCCCCAGGGGTGAAAAAAAGGCGTAATCTCTGCTCTCTAGCTCTTTCACAATCTAATATCATTTTCAGCTTGCAACCTAGCGCTAACTTAAGCATCGGAGCGACCCCGCCGGGTAAACAACCCCGGGTTCTCTGGTTCATCTCTTGCAGGGAGCATCCGGATTGCACTACATCATTTGGCGCTGTCTGTGGGAAGCGCTACAAAAAGCTATGTTCTCATCCTCTGAAGGGTTAAGTCCTTTTCTTCCATAAAGCTAAATTCTCACCTTTTAGAAACTAAAAGCTCTCACTTTCTAGTTTCTATTTTTATGAACTCAAAGACTATGCAGGAAGTTGATGGCCAACAGACTAAGCAGCTCTACTGACTTTATGTCAACTCGGATAAAGCCTCATTATTCCTCTTCACGAGGTCCCCTCTACAAAGATGGGCTCTTCGTGGCTTTCGCGGGAGTTGGCGGTCAACAGACTGCATGGACGTCCTTGATGGTCGAGCCTTCCAAGGCTCCCGTGCGAGCTGGCGACCTAAAGTCAGTAGTGCTGCCCCCGTAGGTCGAGCTCCTAGTAGCTTCTTGTAGGAGTAGGTGATCGGCGTCGCGAGGCTGATGCAGTGTAGCCATAGCACTAAAGCACTGAACTGGCGAAGACCTCGGTACCATATAAGACCTAGTCGCCTCTTCGGCATGGGCAAAATCAAGGAACGGATTGCGAGTCGCTCCCAGAGCCTAAGGGACAAAATACCGAACTAGCGAAGACCTCCTCACCATATAAGACCCAATCGCCGCTTCGGCATGGGCAAAATCAATGAGCGGACTGCGAGTCGTTCCCAGAGCCTAAGGAATTGAATCGACGCTTACGAGCTCATCGAATTAGTCGTTTCAGGCCAGAATGAGCAATCTACTCCCTTCGCCGAGTTACTTTCAACTTGGGAGTGGAAGGCAATTGATGAGGGCGGATTTGGCCCTCCAATGACATTGTGACACGTGGCATCTTGGAACAACTGGGTGACACCTGGAACCACTTAGGCAACAACTTAGCCAAGATGATGGTGTCCCGAACTAGCGACCAGGCACAGGCACCGACCCGGCGACTAGCCTTTATGCCGAACTAACGACCTAACTACCAGGCCAACAACTCACTCTAACACACTAAGTCCGCAACGGATTGAGCTCGGATAACCAGACCACCTTGGGACAAGACTACCTCGGGACGAGTATACCTCGGCGCAAGGTCACATCAAGACCACCTCGGTCCCAAGGCACTTCGCCATTCATATCAGGTCAGATCTAAAGAGCACAAGCTCAGGCAATGATGATCGACCACCGCATGGCAACCCTAGAGATCTCATCACCATACTCCGCGTCTTACGGGATCATACCTTGTAACGGCTAAATATCATCTCTCCACTCCCCGATTCAGGGGGAAATGGTCAGCCTTACTGGTTGGTAGCGTTATCCCCAACTAACACGAAAACGGATCCTGTAGCAACGAGAATTCCGGAACTACTCCACCGAACCCGCAAGGACTCCAGTATATAAAGGCTTCACCCCCCAGGGGTGAAAAAGAGGCGTAATCTCTGCTCTCTAGCTCTTTCACAATCTAATATCATTTTCAGCTCGCAACCAAGAGCTAACTTAAGCATCGGAGCGACCCCATCGGATAAACAACCCCGAGTTCTTTGGTTCATCTCTTGCAGGTTCATCGAGCCCATCATTACCGGTAGCCAGATCATCTCTTGCACAGCCGGATTGCGCTAATCAGTTGTCTTTATCCACCGCCTAATTTCAAAACACCTATTCTACCCTCATTTGAAAGAAATGCTTTTTTAGGAACATTCATAAGCTGCTTATTTACTAAGTACTTTTTTAAAAAGCCTATTTAGAATCAATAAGCACCCCAAACATTGTCTAAATGGACTTTTAAATAAGCACATTTTGAATGTTTGGTGTGATGTTCCTAAATGGGCTTTTTCTTTATAAAAGTACAAAATTTCATGCTTTTTCACCAAATTCTATTTTTGACTTTTTGAGATGCTTTTGGTTTCTACAACGTAATAAGCCGTAAAAGCAATTATGAGAAACCCACCCAAACACCCCCTATTTTGGGAATTCCATTTATATTTTTTACGAGCCCTTTCAAACATACTTTATGTTAATGAATGATAGTATGATTCTAATCTAGAGGGTGTTTGGCACCGGTGCGTTGCATATCCGTTTCAATTCTGCTGATGTGGATTTACTGCCACATCAGAAAAAAAGAATCGCCCAGAAAATTCTCGATTTTTTAGCATTTTCTCAAAAAACGTTTTTCCATTGGGATTCGCAAATCACCATTTGCACTTCGCAGACAAAACGAGAATTTAACGTTTCTTGAATCGCCCCCTGATTCAAGAACGCCAAATCCCACGTGGTCCCAGTGGGATGAGATCTTAACTCAACAGAAGCCAATTTGGTCCCCTTAATCCGCGCGGACGCCAAAGGCCTTATTCATTCTGGTTAAATCGTTCCTTCTTTTTTTATTGTTAAAAGAAAACAACCACGTAAGCCACATGACCGAGGGGATTAGCTGGCTCAGTAACCCCAACTACAACACTGAATCGATTATTGACTAGACACGTGTACGGCACAAATGGCACGGAATAAATTATTGGTCTCCACGAATATCGACGGCCAACTCAACTACCACCATAGGCTCCGTATATACATGTTGTATTTACACTCGGATATAAAGACACGTGTTACATGACGTGGCTATTGCATTGGCGTCCCTCTCCTTCTTCATCCCTTCCTCCTCCCCCCACCTCCCCCCCTCTCTCTCTCTCTCTCTCTCCCACTACGCGCTTGATAGCAATCTTTCTCCGTTCTTCTTCTTTCCTCCTTTTTCCGACCAGAGACAGAGATGGAGAGAATGTGGAAGAAAGAATGGTAGCTCATAGTTGAGGTTCGAGTTACACCTTTTTTCCCGCTAATTTTTTTCTAGCAATTCTCCTTCCGCCGTTGAAGACAGTTCAAAGCCGGGAGTTTCTGCGAAATCCTTTTTTCTTATTTGTTTCAAAGGTGTGGAGACGGAACCTTGGAGAGATTTCTCACAGTTCGAATCGGGCTTCGCATTCAAGAATTTGAGGTATGCTGATTACAAGGTTTAATTCGCTGATTTTTCATTTTGCAAGTTTTGATTTGCAGATGGTAGTTGAAACATTGAATTTGGAGCTGATCGGGATCTCTGTTTCCTTTTTTTTTTAACAATTTCGAATTGATGATTATAGTCCCTATATTTATCTGTTTCTAGAGTTAAGGGGAAAAATAACTACGGAAATGAGAAAAGATAGGTGAGTCAAGTGACTAACAGAGGTTTCCAAGTATCGGCAGAAAATAATAAAAATTATTAAATGAATAAGATCTACAAGGGCAAGAAAAAGAAGGCAGGAAAACGGAGAGGCACTGAGAAACAGGATGTAAGAGGAGATTACTTGGTTAACGGATAATAGAATTTGATGTTGATTATAATTTTGTTTCTCGAAGCAAAAGAACTCATCCAGTATTCTGTAGAGATTTTACTTTTTAGAAAAAAAAAGGGGGAAAAATCTAGGTGTTTTTTGTTTTTTATTTCCATGTACAAGGCTACATATCTCCCTCATTTTTCTCACACGTTGGCATCGTTTGGTGCTCGATGATCTGTAGGTAACTAGGTATGACTTCCTTACTGACCATGGGGCTGTGAAAAGGCACTAATACCCCTCTCCTTTTCCAAAAATTATGTTTGGGCTTTGGATCCTGTGCTTCTGCTTCTTTCCTTTCTCCTGATGTTAAATTCAGTACCTTTTATTTCTCTGCTAGGGAGAAAAAATACCCTGGATAACTTATATTTCTACTTCGGTGCGTTTTCTGAGTTCCGATCAAGCTTCAACTGTAGAAGGAAGATGCCACAATGATAGCGTTATAGGAAAAAATTTAGAAAAATCCCGATTTTCCAATTAAGAAAAGGAGAACCAAATGAAGATTGAAGACCCTCTGATTAATGGGCTTGGGTTGATATTTGACCAAGCAGTTCTTGCTGATTTTCTCTTAACAGAACATGGTAACGTTCACATTATTGAGGTTTTCACCCTATGCTGCAGCGGAGAGTTCCATTTATCCGTCAGAATGCACCCTCACCTGAAAATGCAAAATGTTAGCAGGGAAAATCAAATATCTAATTACATTTTGTTATGTTAATTCTGTCCTCAAAGTTAGATGGAAAAACTTAGAAGAACTTAATGGACTCTTTCCGAATATTAGAGAATTATACCAGTGCAGTTTTCAACATCTTAATTATTTTGTTTGTTTTATGGGGTTCACTAGTTTGATATGAATGCTGAATACGCTTATATTGACATGGTGATGGTGTGCATCTAATAAATCTGGGTAAAATTTATTTATTTATTTCATGGGTTAATCTTCACCAACCAGGCTGGATATCGTTCAAACTAGGCAGTTCTCATTGCAACTTTTATCTTTACTGGGACTTTTTAGCAACAGGTATTATCTTAAGATTAGGATGCAGGCCTTTGCATGATCTTAGAGGAAGGGGATTGATTTGTTGTGATAAGATTTTATTGGATCCTATTTTTAGTATTCTTATCCAACGTTCATGTATATTTTCTTAGTGAGGCATGGTTTTCTCTTTTGGTTATTTACCATCATCATTGCCATAGTCTTTACTGATATTGGTTTCACCATCATCTATGCTTTCTCCCACTTATTCATTACCATTTAGCTTTCCTAGATCCTCCTATTACATCTTCTATTTTTGTTTGGTCAATTCAGTTTTGATATGGTTACCTCCACTGTAGCTGACATCGATTTCAATATGATGCAGAGAATAGCTTGCTTCAATAAAGGGTTTCAAAATCTGTTGTGGAGCAATTAACGTTTTCTGCTGTGGAATTTGATCATGGGAAACAATGAAGCTGCAACACCTCCCAAGTCAGAGAAAAATTCTTCACCTGCACAAGTGAGCTGACAAAATTATTGGATGGTTTGCTTTTTGTCTTTATTGATCTTGTTGGAGAATAATGTTTCTTGTTCCAAGTATTGTAAATGTGTTGAACCTTGTTGGATATGGAAATTGATCTGTAATGGCTGCTTATTGAACTAGATGTTTATTTTTTTAACAAAACAATAAAAGCAATTTGGCTACATGACCATTGGGATTCTTTGCTGGGATTCCTTGTGGATGTCCATTTTCTTTGAAACAATTTTTCTTATGTTTTTCCTTCCAAATAATTTAGTGTTTGATATTTTTATCTTCATCTATAATTGGAGGAATTGCTGTTTTGTTTTTAGAAAGATTATGATTGCAAACCTCTTAAACAATTTATTGAAGTGATTTAGGACATGTTAAGAGGAATTAAAGGATGAACTTTCACATTAAGAATAAAACTTTGACACCTATTTTTGGTTGATCTTTTTTTTATTTTTTTTATTTTTAGTGTCTGAGATTAGTCATTCCTTTTACATTGGCAGGAGCAAACCAATATTCATCCGTATCCTGATTGGGCAGCTATGCAGGTTAATTATTCATACATGTGTCTTCCTCTCTCTTGGGAACAATTTTGTACTTTCATCCTCTTTGAAATTGATTAAACAAGATAAAATTTATTTGTTAATTCTCATGAAATTATCAATGGTTCATGGTGGTTTTCTACATTTTCAGGCGTATTATGGTCCTGGTGTCACCTTACCACCACCATATTTTAACCCTGCTGTCACATCTGGTCATGCTCCCCATCCATATATGTGGGGTCCGCCTCAGGTATTATACTAAGGATCAGCTCCTTCAATTTCTTTTGCCCCATTAAATTTCTTCCTATCTTGCATAATTTTTTTATGTTTGAGAGGGAAGCCCCACAAAAAATATATTTTATTGGCTGTGGTGTTTTACAACTTGATGTTTTTGTTGTCCCAGCCTCTAATGCCACCTTACGGTGCACCTTATGCGGCAATATACCCACATGGAGGTGTTTATGCTCATCCTTCAATTACTTATGTAAGTCTGTTTTAAACTCCCTACAAAGGAGGGTGAACCTTTGATTGCAAGAAAAAAGCTTATTTAAGTACAATTTGATAGTTTGAGGGGCCATTTGAGAGTCACTAAGCTGAACTGACTGACTTATTGCTTGGTCATTTAGTAGATTAATATAGTCATATGATAAACTGTTTGGGGGTACAGTAATCAACCCAACATGTCATTCAGCAAGTGAGGATCACAACTTGCTTAATGACATATTTAGCAAATGAGAAAGTAATAGGCCATTCAGTTCGGCCACTTCAGCTGTTATCTAATGATCCCTGAATTATTTCACCACAATTAAGAGAATAGATAGATTCTTGTAACTATACTACTGCCATGTAAAAGCTGAACCAGTGCCTTCAAAACCTTCTCAAGAAACCAGAACCGAAGGAATAGTCCAAGGACATTCACATATAGGAGTATCTCAGGTTTGGGGAAACAGGACATGAACACAGGTTTGGAACCCGATAACCTGCTCCCTGTTCCATTTTTCAAGAAATGAGGACCAGTCATTTAATGGACCCTAATTGAAATCATGGTTGTGCCATTAAATTCCTGTTTCCCCAGACTCCATGGCCCTAATATGGGTCTTTAGGCTTGCCATCTGTCCCATGTTTTAACTGTCTGAGCCCACCATCTAATGGGGTCTTCCTTGAAGATCTCAGCTAAAGATTTGGAGATCCAGAGAGGATTACGACCTTCTGATTTTTACTGCATTTAATTGGATGGTAGAGAAAAGCTTCCCTTTAACAAAAAAGAAAAGCTAAATCAGATGGTTAAACCTTATCTAATTAGGCTGATTTTTGGACTAGCTATTCTTTCAGTTAAGAATACATCCAGTGGTTGGTCTAGATTCTTTTGACATGGGTCAGGTGGAAAGTTATGGGGGTCTCAGGCCTGTCCCACGTACAGGTCCTGTGTCCCCAGACCCGAGACACTCCGGTAAATAAGGTTAATCTGCACATTAGACGTAACAATCTGTAAACAGTGTCCTTTCTCTCTTAAAGGATTTATTAATTGTTTGTTGTGTATCAGGGGTCACATCCACATGGTCCTGGGTTTCCACCATCACCTGTTGTGAGTGAAGTCATGGTACTGAATATTTCTTTGAACTTGTTATCTCCATATCATAATATCATATGATGTATTCACGTTAGTTGAATGATGTGATATTTCTAGAACTTTGGAGGTAGTTTTTTTTTGGGTCATAAACCTTGGAGGCAGATGATAGCAAAGAAACTGTACCATCTGCCATGTGCCAGATGTTGGATCTGACTGTCATGACTGTGATGCAGGTTGCAACCCCTGTAAGTGTAGAACCACCTGCCAAATCATCAGGTAGCAAAGATCGTGACTTGATGAAGAAATTGAGAGGACTAGGCAATGGTAATGCTGAAGGTGCTGCGGAAGGCGCAACTAGTGGGTTGTCACCAAGGTCTGTTAATCTAATACCATTATACTGGTGCTCATATATGATATATAATACACCCTTCAGTGGGCGCAACCTGGTAGATCTCTTAGGACAAAAATCAACCATTAGAGGAAAGTGTGTTAAATACTTATTTGCTTGGCTAACCCTTGAACTTCTATAATAACGTGTGCAGTGCAGAATGCGGTACAGATGGTTCAAGTGATGGGAGTGATGGGAATACTTCAGGGGTATGTCTTTTATGCTACTTATCATTTTTCTTGGTCTGTTAAAGTTGTTATACTTATTTATGAAGCACAGAATTTGCAAATCTTAAATATGGCCTTCTATATGCAGGGGGACAAAACTGAGAGGAAAAGAAGCTCTGATTCGATTCTATCTGCAGGTATATCCAACTCACTGAAATTTCATGGGATTCTATGCCTTACTGAGAATATAATGAAACTTAAGTTTTTTTTTCTATTTAAGAAATATTTATTTATCATCTTTGGTAAGGGAGGAAGTATTTGGTAGGCCTGGTGAAAAACAGAAAGCATTTGTAATGATGCGTTTTAGGGATTATTGAAGGGAATGGGCCTGTGGGTCTTGCTACTGCTGTTGCTCTTGTCCCCTTCATAAACAGTATGGAATTTTTCCCGAATGCACGTGTCTGTTGTTGAGATGCGTCTTAATGGATGTAGGTGCAGTTTAGTGCTTTAATACCATCTCCAAAGCGGTGCATTGATCAAACAGTCTATGTCAGTGATAATGCACACCTTGTATCACTGTTTTTTTTGAAAACAAAATACCATTACACATATCATTTCTACAAAATATTCTTGTTTTTGGGTGTACTGCTCTTTCTTTAATATGTAATTATCCGCTTTCATGTCTGACTTGTTTTTCTTTTCAATATTTATGCAACCAGGCTCAGATGGGAAGGTTGAAACACCAGCAATTTCCATGCCAAGTGCACAGGTAAATGCAGCTTCCAGTGGAGGTGCTATCAGTGTTGCAGGAAAAACAGTTGGAATTGCACCTTCACCTGGCATGACCCCGATATTTGATTTCAGGGGTCTCCGTAATGGGAAAGCAAACACCAACACAGTAATTGCTCCTCCTGAACTCTGGGTGCAGGTATTCTTTGCTTATATTGTTCTTTCTCCTTTCTGGGCACCTATCCATGTTATTGCCATTAGGTCTTGCCTATGTGAACCACACTCAATCAATAATCAATATTGATCATGTGAAATGGTCAAGAAACAGACTCTTTTAGGATTCTGTCTTGAATCTAGTTTGATAGAATCAATGAAAGTTCTGGTTATAAGAAACATGACCATCTCTATGGAGTTCACTTGCTGCAATTTGAGTCAAATAATTTTGGGCCCTAAACCGAACAGGATTCATGTAGCCAATTCCATATAGTTGGGACAAGGCTTAAATATTGATGAATGGTTTTGGACTCAACTAAAATATAATTTCCTTTCCTTTTATTTAGTTTCTTTGCTCAGTGATGTGTTGATGCTTTCTTCCAATGACTATTTATCTTTACAAGGATGAGCGGGAGCTAAAACGGCAGAGGAGGAAGCAGTCTAACAGAGAGTCTGCTAGAAGGTCAAGGTTGAGGAAGCAGGTAGGGGAAGAACATGAATATGAGCCTTTTCTGACTTTAGGTTTCTTGCATTCATTTGAAGCTTTTACTGTCACTCTATGAGATGACCATATCACAACTTACAAATGCTATTCTTGTGTTCCAGGCCGAGACTGATGAACTCGTGATGAAAGTTGAATCCCTGACTGCTGAGAATATAGCTCTTAAATCTGAAATAAGTCGATTAACACAGAGTTCGGAGAAAATGAGGCTTGAAAATGCTGCCTTAATGGTAAATTCTCCCATCGCATTTGACTTCATATCTATGGATGCAAATGTAATCAGCAAAACTTGGCTTTCACAGAAAAAACTTTGTGGCCAGCCAATGATATATCATTTTATTAGTGCGCTACATGAAATGGTAAAAGAGAAAAATAGAAAATATTTTTTCAGGGGCAGCCAATAGATACCCAAAGGACACGATATTAGATGGTTGCAATGTAGCTCCATAGGCGTGGTTTGAGGCGAGAACATGGCCTCTCTTTAAGAGCTAGATGGTTGCAGACTTGCAGTGTTGACCTTCCAGTGGGCGGCAGCTTTTTGATTAGACTACGGTTTCACGGATTGGCCAACCATGTCTTACGTGATACTTCGTGCCAGCTCTGTCCACATTATTTTTAACAAGTGGATGGTTGCTTAGGTCTTCTCTCTTATGTAAGCTACTCATACCCACTAGGGTCTGAGGGTGGTCTGCACTGTAGATATTCTATGGGTTGCTTGATTCTGAAACAAGCTACACCCATTAGGTGTTCTTAAGGATTAGCTGAAATTGATAGTTGTTTTATTGGCTGTGGGACCAATCATTTTACACCACAACATCTATTAATTACCAGAAGCACTCAATATCTCCTAATTATGGCTGGTGTGGAGCAAAATGATTGATCCTAAAGCTAGTAAAACAGTTATAAAATTCGACTAATCTGCACAAGAAGTATGCAATTTCTCTTCTAAACCAAAATCTTTTTGGTCAGTTTACACCATGGTAAATTGGATAATCACTATTTATATTGTAATAACTGAAATGTTTTTATTTAAAATTTTGCTAACAATACATCCAAGTCACAGTGCAGAACGAGTGTGGTGTAGTTTCAACTAAACCACATTGAGACCAGTAGATTCAAACAAACAATAGCTTACCTTAAAAAGATCACATTACCAAACGCTCTCCACGTTTCTTTTTTTTAGCTCCGTGCTTTGATCAGGATTCGTGTAGCCTTGATTCCAAGCATGGCTAACCCAAATGGTTTGGGAATTGGGATTGAAGTTGAGTGGAGATCTCTGTGCTTTGATCAACTGGATTTCTTTGTAGTGCAATAATATTGTCGAGCCATGTATCACCCACCTTATTCTGCATATTGAAGCTTATATTGGTTTCATCTTTACAGGAGAAACTGAAAGATGCAGAACTAGGACAGACGACGGAAGTGGTGGCCAATGATACTGAAGCCCGCGAGGATCCACCAGTTAGTACAGAGAATTTCTTATCCAGGGTAAACAACCCAGCATCTGTTAGTATAGATGATCGGAGGGATACTGAGATCCACAAGAACTCTAACTCAGGTGCTAAGCTCCGTCAGCTCCTAGAATCCAACACTAGGACTGATGCAGTCGCTGCTGGGTGATGGAATGAATTTGGGCCGGTCTCAAGGTCCAAGTTTCCTATTACTTCTCATTGGATCATGTAATTTTGGCAAAATTTATAAAACCCAAAATTACTCCTAACAGTAACTACTGAGGTAGGATAAGATAGGAAGGATGCAGAAAAGCGGTGGTCTTGAGGAGCAATCTCTTGTTAGCGATGGGGAGCCCTCAAATTTTCACTTTTGTAAGTTTTAGACTCTGCAGCATTAACTAATTTGTGGTCACATGTTGGGGATATAAATTAAAACTGATGTACATCGAAGAGGTTTTATTATAAGCTCTAATGCCGTAGTATTTTATGTAAATGTCTCCCCTTGGCTCTTCCTAAATCCAGATGTAATAGAGCGGGTTTGGTATGAAATGACAATTAAGGCTTGTATGGTTTTACATTTTTGCTCTGTTTCTTCGGTTGTTTATTGCATTGCATTGCATGTTAGAAGAAGAAATAAGGCTGTTGGTTTGGAAACTCTGCGGAGAGTTGTAGCTTTGTATGAGTCGGGATTTTCTACACATGTTTGAGTTGAACTTGTGCACTTGTATTCACAGATATCATTACACGTTTTAATGGTTACTGGTTTAATTCGTATCAATTTTCCATGCAAACATGTTCTTAACTAAACAGTTTTATCCACTGCAATCTTTGTGGATATCATGCTTTTCTCTGTAATTTCATTGAGATAAAAAGAGAATGAGCCCTTCCCTTCTTGCTTCTTATTGCCCTTTGCTCTTATCTAAAAAATCCTTCTCACATTCATGTTACACGAGGTCTGCTGCATTGCTTCCTTTTTTCAAGGATGAAAGGAGCAAACAGCAAAACTCAGTCTACTGAGTTAGAGGAAGTAATGCTTTTCTATTTCATCCTTCCGAGCTCCTCTCTTCTTCTAAGCATTGCTAAATGATATCCACTGCAATCCCTGCAGAATTGCTTAAGAAAGTGATATCATGTTTGCATGATATCTTCAAAATTGCATTGCTCGGAAGGATGGATACAGCCCTTCTTTTTCCAAGCATTGCTTGGAAGCAATGGAAGTAGGTAATAATCCCTGGTTACTTGTTCTTCGTCTTTTGGGCGCTCGGAGGGAAGGAGCAGGATTGAAATCATCTACATATATGAAGAAACCTGTCATTAGAGACTGGTAATTACTTGTTTGTTCGTCTTTTGGGCGCTCGAAAGGAAGGAGCAAGATTGAACTCATCTACTTGTATGGAGAAACCTGTCATTAGAGAATAAATTTCATGGCTTTGATTGATTGATTACATAGTTTGACACTTGTAAAATTAGCTTTCTAAAATTTTGAACTTTCCTACCATTATTTTATTTTTTATTTTTTCCTTCCCTCTTTTTTAACTTGTCCTACATTGGAAGCTTATAAGACCACTTTCAGGTATACTTGTATTTCTTAGAAAAATGTAGAGTGGAAAATATAAACACACATTACCAGCGCAATGTGTGCATGCATGGTTTGCATAAGAATGCAATGTGGAGGCTTCATTGTAACCATTGATTTTCAATTTTTATCCAATATTCAAAATTTGATCAGGTGTGATTAATTAACATAATTTAAATTTTTACAATTGACAAAGAATAGTCATTTAATTCAAATTATAACTCCACAAGAAGCATCTTCATAAGAGACTTGAAAATTTTTCATAATGACTTTTTATAAAATCTATAAAAGGTTCAAGTGAAGACGTTTTTAAACAGTAATTTTCTTGGCACTTATTTCTCCCAATATGAATTATTGATGTTTCTATTGTTTGTAGTTTCACACTTGATGTTTTTTTATATCTTGTGAATGAATTTACTTGCAACCAAAGTGGAAATACGGTCTAATGAGTGGAGACAGATAAGGTTCTAACAACTATGTTTTTAGATACGTCTCAAAACTTCAACTTCTCTCTTTTTGTAATTAATTGGTTTCCAACAAAACCCTATGATGACCAAAGACCAACTAATAATAGTTGTGGATCTATATTGATCATTAAGGGTGAGCATGGTCAGTTTGGTTTGGTTTCAAGGCAGAATCTAGAATCTATTCTATTTTTGGACTAGAACCTACCCTGTCAAGATCCATTCCAAGGTTGGTTCTGGCCTTGGCATTTCCAAGGTCTACCTGTGAAACTTGTTCCTTTTATACCATTATAATTTAAATTTTGTAAGTATTACATACCATTTTACATTACTTATTATATACATTCAAATATTAAACTGAAGAAAAAAAATCAAATTATTTAAGTGATGTAATAGTTAAGTGAGACCATGGTTTTTGTAATCATGAGTGCTTTAATTCAAATCTTTACATCCTTAAAATATTTTGGATAGGGTAAACCCCTACATAGTAGAACCGGCCTATGTGGGGATATGTTCTAAGAAGTTGGAACCAAATCCTACCCAATAACAAATTGGCTAGGTGATGTTGTTTGATCCAAGGTGTTCCAAACTGAGGACAAAATAAAATTATCCTGCCAACTATACAAGGCCGAGGTGGAAGGATGAAACCACATATTAAGATCTACAACCAAGAGAAAGGTTAGAGGCCCGAGGAGTTAATCCTCGGGTAGGTACTTCGATGCTCAAGTCAGTTAGGCCAAAAAAGAGGTGGCAGGGGCCGAGTAGGTTGAAATAATGTTGGTTCGGGCCAAAGAGATAGTTTAGAGATATTCAAAGAGTGTTCTTCTAAAAAGCCCTTTACCTTGAGCAAGGAATACCTATTTATAGTTGGGTGCCTGTGTTCTAGATGGATAGGGCTCCCGGGGTTTCCGGGATGAGGTTGTCCGCCGAGGTATTCGGGAGGTTTCCTCTTCCTCGGTAGAGTTTGCTTCCTTGTCTATGAAGGACACTCCTTAGTCGTGCTCTTCTATCACACGTGGTGTCAACGTGGCTTGAGAGAGAGAACGGCCATGGAGGTTGCCATGTGGCACCCTTGGCTAGCTCAACCATGACCCAAACACCACTCCCCTAATTCCGAAGTTGAGAATTATAGTGCTTGGTTGCGATTAGGCATGAAAGAGTTCTACGGTCCTCAGTTGAAGAACTTTAATTTCTTTGAGTTGATTGGCCTAAAGTAAAGCCGGTTTGTTGGGTAGACTAGCAGGTTCAATGCTCGTGCCATTTCTGAGACAGGTCGATAGACGCGTCATATCATCTTCCCGAGGTCACGTGCATGCGAAGTGCGGCGTCGAATCAACGCCGTTGATCTGAACTGTTGGTTGCCTTTATAGAAATGGGGTAGGCGTGCCATTTCACTTTGTCATTTGAGAAGAAGAGTCTATGCCTTGGAGTTTGGCTGACGTCCCTTGCTTGATATCTCAGGTGTCCCAAACTTTTTTTTTTCGGTAAGATGTTTTTCACTATGTCTTCCTTGTCTTCCCTTTTCATTAGGTACACTTCGGGAGATGAGAGTGAGGGTAGTCCTCGGCATGAGGCAACTGATGTTAGGGTGCCTGAGACCGATGCCAATGTGGCTGAGGTTGGTGACGAGGGCGATGCTGAGGTCCGATAGATTGGTGCCGACTAGGCGGATAAGGCCAATGTGGAGTCTGAAGAGTGGTTTGCCTCGACTTCATGTAGCCTTTCTCCAGTCGACCTGGCTCAGATACGGGAAGTGTATCGCATTCCCGAGGACTATGAACTGAGGTGTCCTAGGATCGGGGAGAGGGCCACTTTGGCCCATTCTGAGGAGGTTTGCGTATATGTTCATAATTTGATATCCGCCCTTAGGTTCCCTTTAGATCCTAGGGTAGTGTTCGTCTTGAAATATTATTGGGTCTTGCCTGTTCAGTTGATGTCGAACTTGTTTCGATGCCTGGTTGGGCTGCTCTATTACTGCACTCTCAAGGACATTGAGATCACCCTGCTGATGTTTATATATTTTCTCCACTTGAAGAAGCACAAGCATGGGTACTACTACTTGTTGGCCAGAACAAACACCTAGGTTCTTGTTGGGGCTCCCTCTTCCATTAGGCATTGGAAAGAGGGTTTTTTCTTTGTGAAGTGATGAGAAGGTTGGCCATTCTCCCTCGCCTTGTCCATTTCGAGGACTGTTGTTGCTTGTGATGATTGAGAGAGAGAGAGAGGGAGAGAGAAAAGAGATGTACAAATGATAGAAAGAAAAGCAAAACTCAGTACTAGCAATCACCAGTCTTCTATTTATATTAATCTTTATAAAAAAGGCAAAATTACAAGTATGCCCCTGGCGGCATATCCTAGGATAAGAACAATAAGAAAAGAAAGAAAGAAAGGACTAGTAGTTGAAACTGTCCCACTAACATCAGTTACAAGGAACACTCAAGTCTTACAACACTCCCCCTCAAGTTGGGCCGAATATGTCTATCATGCCCAGCTTGTCACATAACTCATTGTGCCGCAAACACAAAAGTCCTTTTGTGAGGACATCAGCAAGTTGTTCCTTGGAGTTGACATAAGGGTTACAAATTTCCCTTTTTTCTAGTTTCTCTCTTATAAAGTGCTTATCCACCTCAATATGCTTAGTCCTCTCATGTAGGACCGGGTTGTTGGCGATGTTTATTGCAGCCTTGTTGTCACAGTAAAGAGACATAGGATTATGAACAGCAACTCCAAGCTCACCTAGGAGGTTCTTTAGCCAAAGGACTTCAGCCACCCCATGTGCCATAGCTCTATACTCAGCTTCTACACTTGATCTTGCTACCACACTTTGCTTCTTGCTCCTCCAGGTCACCAGATTTCCTCCCACAAATGTGCAATACCCACTAGTGGACTTTCTATCATCCACGGCTCCTGCCTAATCAACATCTATAAAGGCTTCCACCTTTAGGTGATTGTGTTTACTGAATAGTAGGCCTGTTCCTGGATGTTTCTTCAGGTATCTAAGGACTCTCTCTGCTGCCTCCATGTGTGGCTTCTTAGGAGAGTGCATAAACTGGCTCAGAACTCCAACTGAATAGGCAATATCTGGAYRGGTCATGGATAGATAAATCAGCTTTCCCACTAACCTTTGGAACTGCTTTACATCTTTCAGAGGTTCACCAATACAGTCACCTAGCTTGTAGTCCGCATCCATAGGAGTGTTTGCCGGCCTTGCACCTAATTTACCTGTATCCCGTAATAGATTAAGAGTGTATTTCCTTTGAGAGACAAAGATACCCCTTTTTGAACGGGTAACTTCAATCCCAAGGAAATACTTTAGGAGTCCTAGATCTTTCACTTCAAATTTGGATGTAAGGAATTGTTTCAATTTCTGTATCTTTGAACTCCAACTCCCTGTAATGATGATATCGTCTACATGCACTATCAATACGGCAACCTGCTCCTGACATCTCTTCACAAAAAGTGTATGATCAGACTGGCACTGTTGGAACCCCATCTCTTGAACTGCCATGTGAAATTTATTGAACCAGGTTTTGGGAG